CGTTCTCCTTGATGGGTAAACTTGGTCTTGGCTGGCTGTTCCTGCTGATCTTCTCGGGGTGGGGCCTGTTGCCGTGGTTCCCAAATGTCTTTGCCAGAGGTGGAATTGCCCTACCCTTGTCGGTCCAGGCTAAGCAAGCTGCTCCGGTTTGCTCTCAGGAGCTTTTGTTCCCTGCAAGCTCTGGTACAGCTTTGGAGGACCAGGGTGAAAATGGTGGCCTCCCAATCTCCACTTGGAGGAGCTGAGAACTTGGGGCCCCGCTCCTCAGTGCGCCCACAGAGAAAAGCAGTCACTCCCATCTCCCTGGTCTCCGACCGCACTCCGTGCTCACCTGGCCTGTGAGGAGCGTTTCTGTCTCTGGCACCCGACCCCGCGCGGAGTCTCCAAACCCAGCAGATCCCTGCAGTGCGCTCCCACGCCACTCGTCCCAGGGGAGGGAGGGGAGTCTCCCCAGATCTGCCGCTTGTTGGGTCCCTTCCAGTAAGTGGTCGCTTCTCTGTTCAGAGAGTTGTTGCTACTCTCTTCTTCGGTCTCCTGTTGAGTTCGTAGGTGTTCAGAATGGTTTGATCCCTATTCAGCTGAATTCCTGAGAGCAGACGAAATCCAGGTCTCCTACTCCTCCGCCATCTTGCTCCGCCAGTGTGACTTTTTACTTTATGTATTGCTTTTACTTCATTGTTGCAATACATGTTTTTGGAGTAGATTTGTATTTTTATATAATTTTTTTAAAGCTATTTCTATAGTGAGGAAAAAGATAAAATGTAATGAAGATCCCATTTATAATTAAATAGAAACATATAACAATTAGAAATAAATTTAACGCCAAATATATGAAGAAAACCTTTAAGGTCTTGATAGACATAAAAGTTACCTAATTATAGTGACATCTCCTATTATTGAATGGGAAATCTTAGTATTATAAATGTAGCAGTTCTCCCTTAGATTCATCTATAAAGGTAATGGTTATATTAGTCAGAACAACCTCAGTTTGTTGCAGTTACAAATTAACCCTGAAATCCCCATGGCTAACACAAGAAAGATTTCCTTCTCAATCATCGTAGGAGGCTCTGCATACAGTTGCTCAGGGACCCAGACTTTCCAAGCTCTGCCTTTTGGAGCTTTACCTCTGGAAATACATCATGTGCAGAGGCTGTGTCAGGAAAATAAAGGAGTGAGTACATTCAAGCAATTAAACGTTTTGGCCAGAAACATCACACTTGGCTATTGGTCAGACTAATCACATGACCCCCACGTAACTGCAAAGAGGCAAAAAGGTGTAATCTTTCCTATATGCAGGAATCAAAAGAGAACCAAATATTGGTGAACACGAATGGGTTCCAATAAAAATGCTATTGGATTCTCACAAGTGACCTAGACAAACCATAAAAGTTTATATGAAAAGAATGCTGAGGGGACAAGAGCTATATGGGAAATCTCTGTACCTTTCCCTCAGTTTTGCTGTGAACCTGAAACTGCTTTAAAAAAATTAAGTCTTTAAAAAGAGAATGCCGAGATAAAGTGGCATTAAGTTAATTGACTGGCCATGTGAGGGAGAAAATGAAGGTAAATCTCTGCCTCACTCATTACTCTAAAATTCCAAATGGATCTAAGAATTAAATGTTAAAGAGAAAAATGGGGTACCTGGGTGGCTCAGTCAGTTAGGCATCTGCCTTCAGCTCAGGTCATGATCTCAGGGTCCTGGGATCGAGCCCCACATCAGGCTCCCTGTTCAACGGGGAGTCTGTTTGTCCCTCTCTCTCTGCCTCTCCTCCGCTGCTCATGCTCTCTCTTTCTCTCTCAAAAATAATCTTAGAGAAAAGAGAGAGAGAAAAATGAAACTGGGTATGTTTTTGTTTTTTTAAGGTTTTATTTATTCATTTGAGACACAGAGATAGAGAGAGCATGAGCAGGGGGAGAGGCAGAGGAAGAGGGAGAAGCAGGCTTCCTACTGAGCCAGGAGTCCAATGTGGGGCTCAATCCCAGGACCCTGGGATCATGACCTGAGCAGAAGGCAGACACTTAACCATCTGAGCCACCCAGGCGCCCTGAAACTGAATGTATTTAGAAGAAAACTTGGAAACAATCATCTTAGAGTGGGATATACATATCTTTCTAGGCAAAACTCAGAAGCTTTCAAGGAAAATTTGATGAAATTGCTACCTAAAAGTTAAATTTCTGTTGCTTCCCCTCATCTCCCCCCAAAATTATAATCAAAGTCAAAAGAAAAAAAAATAACGAAATGGGGAGGGGAGGAATATTGGCATCACATGTAGTAGGCCCATTTCTTTAATTTATGAGATCTTAAAAATCAAGAACTTTGGGAGCACCTGGGTGGCTCAGTGAGTTAAGTGTCTGACTCTTGATTTCAGCTCAGGTCATGATCTCAGGGTCATGAGATAGAGCCCCACATTGGGCTCTACACTGAGTATGGAGCCTGCTTGGGGTTTTTTTCTCTCCCTTTCTCTTTGCCCCTTCCCCCTCAAAAAAATTTTTTTAAAAATCAAGAACTTTGAAGGGTCTTACATTTTGCCCTATTTAATAAATAATGGGATCCTAAAAATCACTATGTTAATAACTATAAAGTATCTGAGGTTTTATCTATTTGGAAGTTAGCCTGTACCATTTCGTGGATGCTGACAAAAGACACATGCTTGGGTCAGAGACAAAAAATATTATTCACAGCATAGGAACAGTATGAACATCATGTTTGGTCAGTTCCTCCTCACCTCACAAGTCCTGCAGGGACCATGTTGAGGGGCCCTTGTGGATGCTGCCCATGCACATAGCCGAGAAAGCTCATCTTCAGGAATCTGAATCTTTTATGATGGGCAGTAAGCGAAACTGTCCTCTGCTTCCAAAGGAGACATTGTCAGTATTCGAGGCTGTTCACTATACAAACATTCTTGGGAAGATAGTCTGGAATAAAAAGGTGGTTGGAGCCTTTGTTTGAAAGATGTGCAGAAACATGAGAGACCCATGGACACTTGTTTCCTAGCAATGTCACATAACATTAAAAATCTGGGCAAAGGACATAAAAAAGACACAAGAGAAATCCGCAAATGATTAATAAGAACATAAAACTGAAAGTGTTTCACATCATTCACAATTCAAGACATACAGATTAAACATTAATGGCATACCATTTTTCACTTATCAGTAAAAGAAAAATCAGAAAGGTTGCACCCAGTGATGGCTTATGACGCAGAGAAATGGCTATTCTTATTTGTGCTAATAAGATCTATTGTTAAAAGTATAAAGCAAGGGGGGTTGCCTGGGTGGCTCAGTTGGTTAAGCGTCTGACTCTTGATTTCAGTTCAGGTCATGATCTCAGGGTCCTGGGATCAAGCCCCATGTCAGGCTCTGCACTCAGTGGGGAGTCTGCTTGAGGAGTTTCTCCTTCTCTGTCTCTGCGCCCACTCACACACACACACACACACACACACACACACACACACACACACACACTCTTTCTCTCTCAAATAAACAAATATTAAAAAAGTATAAAACAAGGTGTAGAAATGTGTGAAGAGGATGCTTCCACTGTGTAAAACAGGGGTGTGTGTGTGTGTGTTCTTTTATATGAGTAGAATATTTCTGGAAGGGTACACAGAATTGGTAACAGTGCTTTACCTATGGGGAAGAGAACTGGAGGTCGAAGGAAGAGAGAAGACTTTATTTTTTATCCATAATATGGTTAGAATTTTTTTTACCATGTGTATACGTTACCTCTTCAAAAACTTAGATAAAATTTTAAAAGTAAAAATTCCATAAATTGACAAAGGCTAAAAGTAGTGAAACTTGAATAAGACCACACATAAGCAGAGGACATGATCTTGAAGGTCCCTACAAAGAGAAACTTTTTCAGGAAGAGAAGAATTTATTTTCAAGTTAAGAATTTTCATACTTTGGGACACCTAGGTGGCTCATTGGTTAAGCATCTGCCTTCGGCTCAGGTCATGATCCCAGGGTCCTGGGATCAAGTCCCACATGGGGCTCCTTGCTCAGCAGGGAGCCTGCTTCTCCTTCTCTCTCTGACAAATAAATAAATTTTAAAAAAAAGAATTTTCTTACTTTGTTTACTTTTCCAATGGAAAAACTAGTTTTTCTAACTTTTTTTGTTTTGTTCTTATGTGTATAGGTTTTAAAGTCAGATGAACCAAGGTTCAAATCCCCATTTTCCATTTAGTAGACCTGAACAAATTACTTAATTCGTGAAAGGTTACTTACCTTAGGTAAGGTCTTAGAGAGGCTAAGACCATGCACATAGTGAATGGCAGAACTGAAGTTTCAACATAGGTTCCTCTAACTCCAAAACCCAGTGCTCTTACTCAGTGCTGTGTCCATTGATAAAGCAGAAAAGCAAGGAGGCAGACCACTTAACAGGATGTATTAGTTTCCTTAGGCTGCCATAACAAAATACCACAGGCTGGATGGCTTAAACAACAAATTTGTTTTCTCACATCTGGAACCTGGAAGTCTAAGATCAGGGTGCCGGCAAGTTGGTTTTGGTGAAGTCTCTCCTCCCAGTTTGCAGACTTCTCACTGTGTCCTCACATGGCCTGTCCTCTGTGCTTACACACAGAGTCAGAGAGCCCTGGTGCCTCTTCGTCATTTTATCAGGATACTAGTCCTATCAGATTAGGGTCCTACCCTTATGACTTCATTTAGCCTTCATTGCCTTCCTAACAGCCCTGTCTCCAGATACAATCACGTTGGGCGTTAGGTTTCAACCTATGAATTTTGAGAAGACAGAATCCAGTCTGTACCACAGGGCCACCCCAGGTCTTGGCCTGCTCCAGGAGACCCCTTTCACCCAGTGTGCAGTCTACACAACCATACACTGTGGGCATGCCCATTCTTTTTAATAAGACTTTCTTAGAAAGCTATAAAAGTTCAGAAGCTTTATGATGAGCTTCTGAACTGGGACTTATGCTTATATTCTAAGATTTTTAATGTATTTACAAAATTGTAATTAAAATTCACTTTTGTTACTTTATTAGAGCATTAGTTTGGATGAGTTCAAGTCATTTTGTCATTTTACGACCCACTTGGAAGACTTTGCTATTGCTATGCAAATGTTCAGTTTAGCTCATCGTCCTGTCAGACTGGGTAAGTTTTATGACTTAATTTTTATCATCTATACAGTATCACTTTATTCTTTAACTAGAACGTACTGATCAAGGAGCCAGTTATCAGTAAAACAGTTGATTGGCCTTTTAATTCGTTGTGGTTACTCTAGACTTACAGCATTGACTCTCACATTTAACAATAACTTTATTTGCTTTTACTTTCCTTATTTTTCCCCTAAGAAGGAAAAGAGAATATTTAAATACCTTCTTTAAAATATTGATTAAATTAAAATAGCCTGCTTCTCTTTCAGTTACTTTCATGACATTTCTCAGCCAAATTTATTATTTCGATATGCTCTTAATGAGTATTTTTGGTTTTGTTTTACTTCCCATTAATGAACATTTAGATTTGTTTTTGCTTCTCAAATAATAAAATTTAGATGAATTCCACTTAGACTATTTCACTGTTTCACCATCAGCTATGGTTGATGAGTTCTTTTATGTTTTCTTTCAGCGGAGTTTAAGAGGGCCGTGAAAGTAGCAACAGGACAGGAGCTCTCGAACAATATTTTGGATACCGTCTTCAAGATCTTTGATGTGGATGGTGATGAATGTCTTAGTCATGGAGAGTTTCTCGGGGTTTTAAAAAACAGGATGCATCGAGGTTTATGGGTAAAGATTTTGAGTTTTAAATAATTACATGTTTACATGTAATTGAATGAATGATATTTTACACCTAGAATTTGGACAAATCTATAGTCTTAAATGGAGGCTTTATCATTTATAAAGAGGTTATAAGCTATGATCACAACACCGAGATACCTCCTACAGATGGAATCCAGTATTTTTCTTTGCCTTTATTTTTTGTCTATGTCTAATCAGAAACCACTATTCAGAAAACATAGCCTAGAATTTTGCCTTGGGCTCTGTAGTTAAGACACACCTAAATTCAAATCCCAGCTCTGTCACTTACTAACTGCCTAATCTTGCAAAGCCACTTAATTTTTCAGAGCCTCACATTCCTCATCTTTGTACAATGAGGAAACTAATAGAATCTACCGGAAAAAAATTTTTAAAGAATCAAGTGTAGGATACTTAGTATAGTGCCTGAGACACTTGAAGTAAATGTTAGCCATTATCACTGCATTCAAATTCACATATTCGTCTGTGGGACAAATAAAACTCAAAATTTTGTTTAAAGCAGTCTTCAGGTTGAAAACAGGGGTGGAAAGAGAGCTATGTGATAAGCAGGTAGTTAGGCCATAAGAGAGGAGAGAGAATGAGGGAGAGGATATGGGAGGTTCATAAACAAATTATTTATTTACAACTCAGAAAAGCATGTTCGTTTTCCTGCTATAAACATTTATGGAAAATGAATAAATATGATTTCTATTAGCAGACATGTTTTACAAGCTTTGTAGTAGTACCCAGTACCTCATAGTTAACAGTCATATCCCTGGAAATTAAACCAGCCTTTGCAGTTAACAGTTTAATATACTAAGGAGCCTCTTTGCCATTTCTCAAGAGACATTAAATAGAAGACCTGTAAATCTATCAGAAACTTTTGCTTCCATTTGGCACATTTCCAGCAATGCTGTGCTCCTGTGGTCACCAGGATACAAGTATTTTCTAACCTTTACTTTGTTGTTTAACTGAGAAGACCCATACAGAACCTTTTAATTCACAGAGCACTTAGGTGAATTATATTATTTCTTCTTAAGGGTTCTTATCAAATGTATTGTTTCTTTTTTTTAACTTCAGCAAGGTTAAATCAAAGTTTTATTTTAGGCTTATAATTTGTATTCCACTTAGCTAAATAAAGTTCACCATAAAAAGGGAAACATTATAAAATATTATAAAGCATTATGAAATAATTACATTTTAAACCAATATGTGAACAAGATCACCCAAAGTCTTCATTATCTTCTTAGGGAGGAAGCTCTAATCACGTATACTTAGTCAGCCTCCATTCCCTAGTTATCCCAAGGATATTCTTACATCACGTTCACTTTTTTGTCTTTTATCCTGTCTTACTTACAATTCTGTTGCAGTTATCTTTTACAACATAATCCATCTCAAGTACTTTTTGGAGGTGTGTGGGGAATAATAACAGAGCTCACATGAAATCGTGTTTAATCTTGAAGAGAATGATCTCTTTACTTTCGCTTTTGGTTAACAGGTACCACAACAACAAAGTGTACAGGAATACTGGAAATGTGTGAAAAGAGAAAGCATTAAAGGAGTAAAAGAAGTCTGGAAACAAGCTGGAAGAAATCTCTTTTAGAAAAAGATAATCTGGGAGTCATCCTGCTCCAAATGTCAGAATTTGGAATTTGTTTAAAATACTAGATTTTTGTCTTCTTGGTTTTCTTTGTAATATAAAGATGCCTTGTATTTACTTTCTGAATCAATAATTTCTTAATAAAATTTCATTAAAGAACTTAGTAAAAATAGATACATTCTGTCAGAGGGCCTAGAATTGAAGTAATGCTTTGTACTTTGATAAGATGGAAAACCTAGTTATTCACTGATTTCTTAGACACAGTAGTACAACGTGCTCTTTGGAAGGGTGTCAGCTAGTACTTAGAGAAAAAAGTGTTTGATATACAAGACCAATATCAAGTCCAGGAGTCCTGATGTTTCCAGTAGGGCAAATTAAATTAAAAACTTCTCAGGTTTTCTCATCTGTATCTCATAACTCATAAGCTTCTTGTGTATTTTATTTCAGTTAGCTGTATATTAGTTGTCTTAAAAATAATGTGTAAATTTCAATATCCTCTGTAGAAACAGAATAAAGTATATACACAGATAACAAAAGTTACATGTGTTTTTTTACATGTGTTTTTTAAAGCTTTTTTTTATAAATGTAAATTCTCTCATTAGTATTGACAACTTACTGGTTTGTGTTCTTATAAACTAGTGTAATTGGTGGGGTGCCTGGATGGCTCAGTCCGTGGAGCGTGCAACTCTTGATCTTGGGGTTGTGGGTTTGAGCCCCACACTGGGTGTAGAGAGTACTTAAAAATAAAAAAACTAGCGGGGCGCCAGAGTAGCTCAGTTGGTTGAATGTCTGACTCTTGATCTCAGCTCAGGTCTTGATCTCAGGGCCATGAGTTCAAACCCCATGTTGGGATCCACACTGAGCATGGAGCCTACTTTAAAAAAAAAAAGGCAAACAAAAAAACTAGTGTGATTGGGGAATCTTGATCACAAGATCAGGGTCTCATGGGATATACTGTGTTGTGGGTAAATGTTTAAAATGGCACTAAAAATTAATTGGCATTAAATATAAAATGCTGTTATTAATAAAATGGCATTTTTTAACACAGTAAGTGAAAATTATTTTTTTAAAAATATGCTTCTCAAACAAGAATATTGCAAATATTTAAAACACATTGCATTCCCTGGTTAAATGGCTGACTCTGAGACTGGAGCAGGAAAAGTACAAGATGAACCTGGAAGTAAAGAAGTAGTCAAAAAACAATGAGGACATACCAAAAGGGCAAGAGCCACTTGAAGGGGCCCTCCCTGGCCAAATATGATACAATTTGAGTAACAAAGTAATTAATGTCAGTAATGGATCATAACCTATTGAATGAATTAAGAATCAATGAGCTTAACACTGATAATTGATTAATGGGACAAGAGGAACCTCTCCCTTACAGCTGCTACATGGAACACACTTGTTTGAATAATGCTTGAGAATGACAAGCGGTAAAAGCTTTTGTCCAATTATTAAAAAAAAAAAAAAAAAACATTTATTTTGGTGCTGATTAGGAAACAAATTTGTTCTAACTCATCATTTTAGGAATAATTTTTGTATTTCTTTATTGTAAAACCAAACCAAGAGAAAAGATAAGCAGTGCAAATAGAGGATGTGCATCCTCCCATCATTTCCTCTTAGCCATAAAAATACTGTCTGACTCTTCTCCTACCTGACTGCCCAGTTGTCCTTATGGGTAAAGATTAGGGGTATAAAAGTCAAAACCTAGGATAGTTTCTGGTGTTTTCACAGGCTCAATTTTTCCAGCTTCTACCTGGCACTACCTCTGCCCGCTTTCCTCAGCATCCAATGAATACTATGCTCCAGCCCTATAAAACCTCTGACCTGGGGCGCCTGGGTGGCTCAGTTGGTTAAGCAACTGCCTTCGGCTCAGGTCATGATCCTGGAGTCTCAGGATCGAGTCCCGCATCAGGCTCCCTGCTCAGCGGGGAGTCTGCTTCTCTCCCTGACCCTCCCCCCCATGTACTCTCTCTCTCTCTCTCTCTCTCTCTCTCTCAAATAAATAAAATCTTAAAAAAAAAAAAACCTCTGACCTTTCCCCACCTACACCCATGCTTTTCATTTTCATGTTTCCCTACCTCCAAGCCTCTACACACACCAGCTTCTGATGGCAGTGATTTTTGCTCTCTTGTCATCGTGGCAAAGTTTTAGAAATCCACTTGCTGCCTACATGTCAAGTATGTCTGTACTAAACTGTTAAATCAGGACTAGGAACAGTGCCTTGTCATCTTTATATTTTTTATATAAAATGTATATATTTTTATAATAAATATTTTAAAAATATAAAATTTATGTAATTTATAAAATTTTATATGAAATCTATGTTAAAAAATAATATAGGGGCACCTGGGTGGCTCAGTCAGTTAAGCGTCTGCCTTCAGCTCAGGTCATGATCCCAGCGTCCTGGGATCGGAGCCCTACATCGGGCTCCCTGCTCCGTGGGGAACCTGCTTCTCCCTCTCCCTCTGCTGCTCCCCCTGCTTCTGCTTTCTCTCTCTCTGTCAAATAAATAAATAATCTTTAAAAAAATTCTCATATCTAACCCCATTCTGTTTAAAATATATATATATATAATTTTAAATTCAAATCTAGCTGAGGACCTGGCTTATAGAAGGCATCCAGCAAATATTTGTATAAAGGAAGGAAGAGGAGAATGGGACAGAGAAGGAGTGGAAGAGAAATAGGGAGGGAAGGAAGGCTTGTAATGTCCGTCAGTCAAGTATGCAAACAAGAACCTGCCGGGTTGCCAAACATAAAATGGTGGATTAAGACAAATGGTCACTGTTGTCATGGAACATATAGTCTAAAGGTAGAGACTGAAAACTAACCAGGAAACATTTTTTAAGATTTTATTCATGTATTTGAGAGAGAGAGCATGAGCAGGGGGAGGGACAGAAGGAGAAGCCGACTCCCCACTGAGCACGGAACCTGACGTGGGGCTCCATCCCAGACTCCAGAATCATGACCTGAGTCCAAAGCAGAAGTTTAACTGACTGAGCCACCTGGGTGCCCCTAACCAGAAAACTTTTTAAATATTATCATCATAAATTAAGATTTTTTAATAATAAAGCAGTGTTAGAGAACAGAGGAGTAGACTTTCCTAAAACAGGAGTTTTCAGGGATTGAGGAGACAATTTTCAATTTTTCCAAGACAAAAGGAAATGTCCTACAACCAAAAAATGAATAATTCCTTTTCATCATTATCGTATGATTGCTGCAAACAACTTGATCCCATTTGAAAAGGATATGGATAAAATATTTGTATCAAATAAGCAAACTAGGTTTGCTAGTGTCTCCTCTTAGCAGTGTGGAGACAGTCACCTTGAAAGCAGCTGCACTTCCTAATCTGAACTGAATCTTCGGTCCTTTCCTTTTCTGTGATTTTTTGGAATAAATGATCACTGAGTCTCCTGATATTTTGGTGGTTAGCTTGTACTTCTCTGCTTATCTTGAAGGCAGGGAGGGTGGCAGTTATCCTCTCCTGAGTCCTGCCTCCACCTCTTTTCTCCTTAGGAGATCTCATTCTCACCTCTGGCTTCTGTTCCCTCCCCCAAATTTCTGGCCCAGTTACCTTCTGGATGTCTCCATTTTGTTGGTCCAACTGCACATGTCCAAAACTGAGCTGATCATCTCCCCCTCTTTTCCCAAACCTTGCTTCTTCACATGTGTCCCTCTCTTTCAGTGAGTGTCTCTCAATAGACCAAACCAGAAACCAACAGTTGTCCTAGAATCTTATACTCCCTTATTCGTCCATATTGAATGAAGTCCTGTCAATTCCACTTCCTCAGAATCTCCCAAACTTGTTCTCCACCTTCCGGCCCCATTGCCACTGCCTTAGTTCAGGCCCTGCGTGGTTATTACTTAGATCACCACAACAGAATCCTGGTACCCTCCAGGCCTGGCCCCCACTAAAAGCACAGTGATTAAGCATTCACGCTGGTGTTAGACTACCTGGATTCAATCTCAGCTCCATCACTTAACAATTTTCTAATCTTTGGCAAGGTACTTAACTTTTATGTGCCCACTTGCTTATCTAAAAAGTGGGAATGATTGTAATTCCAATGTAATAGTGTGTTATGAGGATTAAATGAGACATACATAAAATGCATGGGAGGAAATCTTCATTATGTGTTAAATTACTGTTGTTAACTTCTTTAACCAGATTTAATTTTTTTTTTTTTTTTAGATTTATTTTAGAGAGAATGAGAGAGAGTGAATGAGCAGAGGGAGAGAGGGAGCCCCATCATGGGGCTCAGTCTCATGACCCTTAGATCATGACCTGAGCTGAAATCAACTGAGCCACCCAGGTGCCTCACACCAGATTAATTTTTCTAAAACAAATCTGATCATGTCACCACTACTGACAATCCTATGACACTACAGTCACTACAAAATAAAATTCAACTCCTACATGATCTTGCCCCCCCCATCACCTAGTTCTCTGGCCTCATCTCCTAAAACTCCCCCCCACACCCTACACCAAAATTACTTGCTAGCACCCCAGCTGGCCATGTTCTCACTCTCCAAGTATTTGGACTTGCTAGTGCTCTGGAAGGTATTTCCACCTGGCTAACCTCTTCAAGTCCTACTTCATTTGTGAAGTTTCCAATTTTTCTCCCTGCTTTTCCCTCAAACTCATTTAGGCATTCTCTCAGCATCTTTTTCCACCTCTTTCAAACCTCACCAAGTATACTGGAATTTTTCATTTGCCTCTCTCACTCAACTAATAGCTCATTAAGAACAAGGACCTACAGTTCTTTGAACACCATCTCCCCAGGATCCATCAAAGAGCTGGCACATAGTGGTTGTTCAAAAAATATGTGAGAAATAAAGAATAAAAAAGGAAAAGGAGGGAGGGAGGAAGAAAAAGTGAGACAAGTAATATCCCCATATGTGCATGACTTTTCCTGATATTTCAGCTTTTCTGTTACAGGACCGGGCAGGAAAAAGAGAAGAGCCCTCTTAGGAGCTGTCTTCTCGGAACTCTAAGACAACTCTGGTTTGGCCTCTGCCTTGGACATAGAGGACAAGTGAGAGAATCCGGCCAGGGGCCCTGCTATGGTTGGAAGACAGAATAGGTGCTAGAGATGGAAACAAAATTGAAGTGCTGTCCCGACAGTTAGAAAGAAAGAACTTTACCCTACGGGAGTTAAATCAAATAAGCAAAACATAATGTAGAGAGTGATGTCAAGGAAGATGGCAGAGTAGGAAACTAAGAATTTGTACCTCCACCTAAACAACTATCAAACCAGCAGGAACTGTCTCAAGGTACTATTTTGGAACTCTGGAGCTCAGTAGAAGAGGTTCAGCGCATGGGAGAACTCAGTGAAGAGCCTGGTAAATTTTGGTGAATTTGAGCCTTTTGCAAGGTTGCAGTTACCAGCCCAGGAGCAGGCAGCTGTGGACATAGCCGCCTACATTCCTGGTGTGCCTTACTAGACCCAGGGTGGGCAAAAAGACCATTGTGTAGATAGCTGATGGCTGCTTTTGCTCACCGAAGGACCAGAGGTCAGCCATTTTTGAACACCCAATT